GGATTCAGATTCAGATTTGAAGAATATTTCGTTGAAGAAGACATCAAGATTAAGAACAGAGTCGTCGTCTTCATATGAAAACACTTGTCTTCTCGCGGTCACGCCTTCAAATCTACGCGTAAATCGAGTGGTTAGTTAAATACTTCGACTCTAACTCTTTTAAGAGTACTTGTCTTAACCTATAAGTCATATGAATGTGAACATTGAGAAATTTGTGTGTGTTTTTAATCTATTTTTGGCAGAATCTTGCAAAACATTTTAGTAGAACAAATGGTTTGAACAAGAGATGGTGTGGGATTGATCTGATGAATCAAAGTGGAAAATGTTGGGGTTTGAGTTTGCGACACAACAATGTAACTGGTCAGGATTATATCCGTGGAGGCTGGAGAAGTTTCTGCCGTGCAAATAAGCTAAAAATCGGATCTTTATACCGGTTTAAAGTTGTTCGGAATGGAACAAGGCCTATGCTACGGTTGTGTTCCGACATTGTTCCACGAGGAAATGGAAAAGCTAAAGTTTCGGCAAACTCTAGCAGGAAAGATGAGAGAGCTTCGATGAAGCAGAACAAGGTTCTAACAGTGACCTTGAAACCTTATATGCTCAAGTCTAGACAACTTGTAAGTTTTTTTCAACATCTTAGTTTTAGGGTTAATTTGATTAAGCATTTTCTTGTCCTACTTTATGGTTGATTTGAAACTTGTGTAGCGTCTTCCGAAAGACTTTGCAAGGGAGAACGGTATCGCAAAGGCAGGAGAAATAACTCTAGTGGACAAAAATGGAGTAAAGTGGCCATCCTATGTAGCTATTGCCAGTGAACAAAGAGGGTTTTATATGGCAAAAGGTTGGATAAGTTTTTGTGCAGCCAACGGGATAAAAATGGGAGAAAGCTTCACTTTGGAGTTTGTTCGAGGAGAAGACTCAATTCCTATGTTCAAGTTCTGCTCCAAGGCCAAGGTGAACACATACCTTGTGATTCAAGTCAATCTTAGATGTTAAAATGAATCGTTTTCACATTGTTAAAATGAATTTGATTCAGAGAGAAGAAGCACCATTTGATGGCACACGAAGGACGGTTCAAGCATCACGGGATGAAGAAGAAGATGAAACGGAGAAACCTTTCCAAAAGAGAGCTCGAGTTTCTGCAGATGGAGGAACCTCTGGCCGCATTGGGACATCAAACAAATCCAGTCCTGAACCGAAAAACTTGCAGCGCAAGCGACCACATCAACCTTGCTCAATCTCTGATCAACTGAAAAAGGTGAAACAGAGTATTGTGGACACTTTAACTGGTGTAAGACGGTTTCGATCGGAGCTCGAGATTAAGGAACATAATTTAGAAGATGCGCTGCAGGATATCGACGCATTAGGTATGATGAACACTTGTGTTTCTTTTACTGTTTTGGTTCTTCTGTTTCTAACATTTGAATGTTGTCAAAAATAAACAGGGGAGAAAGTATTGGAAATCAACAAAATCCTCAAGTAATCAACAAGTTTGCATGTGAACTTAAGATCATGAAATGGAAAGGGGCTTTTGTAAACTCTGTTTGTATCTGGAACTTTAATCATCTAGACAAGTAGAGACAAGA